ACATACATACATACATACATACATACATACATACATACATACATACATACATACATACATACATACATACATACATACATACATACATACATACATACATACATACATACATACATACATACATACATACATACATACATACATACATACATACATACATACATACATACATACATACATACATACATACATACATATATATATATATATATATATATATATACATGAACAAAACATACATTCACACACATATGATATGTGTGTTTGTGTGTCTGTTCTGGTTACTGCGTCTCAATAAAATTTAAATAACGATATGTATGTACACACACACACAAACACACACACACATATATATATATATATATATATATATATATATATAATCTATATATTTATATATATACGATGTTGATTTATAATTATATTTATATTATAGTTATTTATAATTATATTTATATTTATACACATATATATATTTCCAATGCGTTACTATATTGAGTGATTCCAAATATGCCATATATTTGTGTTGACTAATGGTGCGATTGTTGTGTTGTTGTTTGTTTGTTTCTAAAAGTAGTAACAGTTGTAGTAGTAGTAGTTTTGTGGTGGTAGTGGTAGCAGTAGTGGTAGTAGTAGTGGAAGCAGTAGTGGTAGCAGTAGTGGTAGTAGTAGTTGTAGTAGTAGTAGTAGTAGTAGTAATAGCACTAGTATTAGTTATATGTAGTAAGTAGATACAATAAAAGTGTATTAACAAAATTGTGGCGATGATTCAGAACATTTTGTGTGTGCGCGTGTGTGTTGAGATTGAAGATTTATTTACCTGCCTCATATTTCTGTTATTTTGTCAAAATCTCATGTGTGCGTGTTTGTGTGCGTGTTTGTGTGCGTGTTTGTGTGTGTGCGTGTGCGCGCGTGTGACAACGAGGTGAAACGAATGCAGCATACTAAGAAAAAAGCCAAAAAAAATGAAAGATTGAAGATTTTTTTTCGATACCATACAAAAATAAGATTTAATGTAATACTGTTACTATTATTACTACTACGGTTGCTACTATTACTGCTGCTACTACTATTATTACTACTACCACTAATAATAACAATAATAACAACGATAATAATAACAACTTTTATTGTTATTATTAAAGTGGTTATATACTATAAGTACCAAAAGTTGCAATTTTAATTAATGTCATTGTTATTGTTATTATTATTATTATTGTTGTTGTTGCTGTTGTTGATGTTATTATTATTATTATTATTTTTATAATTTTTTTTACTTATTTTGTTGTTGTGGCTGCACGTTTTGTTAATAATAATATAGGTAGTAGTAGTAACTGTGGTAGCTGCTGTAGTAGAAGTAGTAGTAGTAGTAGTAGTAGCTGTAGTAATACTATTACTATTGCTCTTATTTTATTTACCCATATTTTAAGCAACATGACAACTCTATCTTTTTTTTCGTTATCTTTCCAAGAGCAATAAATTTCATAAGACATTTTTAACCACTAAACAGTTTTGTTTATTCACACACACACACACACACACACTCACGCACACACGCACACCAATTTCTTCATTAAATTCATACTCGCACACACACAGATTTACACACACACACACACACACACACACACACACACACACACACACACACACACATATATATATATATATATATATAATTCCATATATCTCGTTTCGTTTTGTCTCGTCAACTCCCGTCTCGTCTCGGTATTAATTATCCTAATTTCGTTATAATTATTTATCACCGTTAATCAACAGATCGCAAAAAAAATGTCCTCTTCATTGTAAAGACTCTTAAATATTTAAAATTCAGTAACTCAAAAAATTGGGCTAAATAAGGACTAATATTTGGGCCATTATATTAATTAGTTTTTATTATTGCTGTGATTATTACAGTTGTTATGATTATTATTGTTGTTGTGGTGGTGGTTGTTGTCGTTGTTCTTCTTCTTCTAATTATTATTATTATTGTTCTTCTTCTTATTATTGTTATTATTATTCCGGTCGCTGATGGCTTTTTTCGTGCTGAGCTTTTTAGCTTAAAAATTTTGTCATTTTTGGTGTTATTATTATTTTTATTATTGTAATAATAATAATAATTATTACTTTAAATATTTTTGTTGTTGTTGTTGTTGTATTATTTATTTATTTATTGTTTAATCAAATTTGTGGTGGTTGTTGTTGTTGTTCTTCTTCTTCTTCTTCTTGTGGTTTGGATTTCATTAAAATATTCATTCAATCACCATTTTAATTATTCCCATAAACAATAAAGTAATTATTAATAATAATAATAAATTAATTAATTGATTATAATAATAATTAATAATAATTACAACAATCCCACCGGATACACATATATGTGTGTACTTACACACACACACATACACACACGCGTGAGTGCGTGCACATACAGACACACATATTTGTATTTATTTTTTAGACTGAGTTTTTCTTTTCATAAAAATTTGATATAGAAGCAGCTTAAAACCACATTATTTACCAATTCAGCGACAGATGATGATGATGATGATGATAATAATAATAATAATCATAACACAAATGATAATAATACTATACATTTGATACCCCTAATCATTTGAAGAAGACAGTTATCAATGCGTTCCATTGCTAATTAATGATCTTGTTCGTATTTTTTTATTTGTGTGTGTGGGTTTGTGTGTTTGTCTGTGTGTATGTGGTGTGTGTATGTATGTATGTGTATGTGTGTGTATGTATGTTTGTGTATGTGTGTGTGTGTGTGTGTGTGTGTGTGATGTTTTTTTTGTTTTTCTATATAGGTTTGTTTGTACTTATGTGCGTATAAGTGTATGTATGTATATAGATTTGTATGTATTTGTATGAGATTTTTTGTATGCTTGTTTTGTGTGTGTGTGTGTGTGTGCGTGCAATTGTTTGGCCTAAGTTTTCTTAATTGCTCTTCAGAACAACTTCTTCATAATTTTTCTCGTGAAAACGGAACAACGTGTTATCTTCAGAAATTTACACCAGCATACCATACATAACAAGCACAGACGCACTTCTCTTTTCTAAAAAAAACGATCAGATAGCGAACTAAATTAGTTAATTAATACCTTCGATCAATCACTAATTAATCAATTAATTGAATATACATTTAATTATTTAAATAATTATTTATTGGAATATCGTTCCACCCTAGTCTGGTTTTCCAACATTAAATGGTTTTGCCTTCTTATATATAAGATAAATGGATATATCACCAGTTATAAATCAAATAGATATACTGCATATACACATATAACATTAAGTATGTACCCATGTAACCCATATATATGACATATTAGATGCCATTTCACCAAAATGAACAAAATAGAGTTATGCTAAAACGCATTTAAAATATAAAAAGTACAACAACCTAGTTTTATTTAAAATTTTTTAGGCATATTTTTTGGATATTTCAAAGAATTTAACAAGAATGATTGGAAGGATGACATTTTTATTTTCTATTTTTTTTTCAAACACACTCATCACTGATATTATAAAGTTTAAAAGTGGATTCCATCGACGTTGAAATTCCAATGTTCAAGTGTTTTAATTTAAATTAAACTGGGGGCTTTATTTTAGTGAATTAGTGAAAATTATTATGGTCCTTTGTTTTAGGATTTTAACTTTTATTTTCACGTTTAATAACTTTTATCATATATTCATTAAAAATCCATGGAAATGGTATTTTGACCTTTTTAGTTCATTTTTTAATTTAATTTTTATATTTTTTTTGGTCACAGATTTAAATTTAAGTGAACTTTGCTTGTTTGTTTCAATTAAAAATTAGTGAATGAAATGCGCTTGTTTTCAATTTTCAGCCACATGAGACTAAAGTCTAGACTTTATTTTTTCAGATTATATTTAGAAAGGAACATATGTGATGTGGTGTTTTTCTCATTTTTTTAAAACCATTTTCTATTTCGACATAATTTTATTAGTCATGTCATGACATAGATAAAAAATAATTGTTACTTATATTCTATCTTATTATTTCAACTTTTTTTCTAGGTTCACCAACATTCTTCGAAAGTTTTTTGGTTTTGAAGATTTTAAATCTTTGAGAAGATCTGAAGAGAAACTGCTTAGATGTAATTTAATTTTTTTAAATCATTCATTTAATTTATAATTTGCTTAAAACTTGAAATCAGTTATACACTTTGGATGTATGTTATATCTAATATAGCTATATATAAAATAAACCTTTTGCTCTATTCATTTCATATTCATGTCCGAAAAATTAAGGACCAAATTGCATAGTGTGTTTGTGTTGGCCTAAAATGGGTTGATGTTATTAATGTCAGAGCTTGAAATATGTGTATAAGTGTTTTTTCAAGTGTTTTGTATGAATAATAATGTTAAGTTATTTGTTGGATACAATGCAGACAGGTGCAACACTTTAAAATTTTCAAAACCTCAAACTTGAAGTTCAACAAATTCTATAGAAATTAATATAATTTTCTGAACTTTCATTTATATATTTTTTCTCTTTTCTAGGTTTATCACCACCTGACCATGTAAAAACAGCACAAGACATCACATTGGGCAGAGGCAGATTGAAGATATGGACAATATCAGTGAAAAGTAAAAACTCTAGTGAAATTCCACTTGTTCTCTTGCACAGTTTGGGGTATGGAGCAAGCTTCTGGTCGCTCAATCTGGGTGAGTTATCATCTTCTAGGCCTGTCTATGCCATTGACATGCTGGGGTTTGGTAGAAGTTCGAGGATGGCTTTCAGTACCTGTCCAACAAATATTGAATTAGAGTTTGCCAAGTTTTTGGAGGCATGGAGGGCTGAAATGAAGTTGGATAGGTTTATTTTATTAGGTTTAAATTTGTTCATAAGTTGAAATTTTCTTGATTTAGCTTGATTTTTCTTCACTGAATCATTCAGTTGAGTCATTTTCAAAGTTTATTTAACATATATCTGTGCAAACATTTATTTAAGTTTAAAAATTTCAGGACACGGATTTGGGGCTTATGTGGCCTTCCTTTATGTATCAAGATACCCAGAGCATGTTGCACATGTTATTTTTGTTGAGCCCTGGGGTTTTGAGGTGGATTCCAAACAGTACAAAAAGTTTGATGTCTCATCTGCTGCTCCAAAGTTTCCTCTCAGTAACTCCATCAAGATGACGGCATTCTTCATACAGTTTCTTAATCAGTATTCACTTTTGAGATTTGCTGGTCCTGGCTGGGGTCAGTCTTAACTACAAACTTTTATTTTACTAGTACCTTATCTAAGCTTTGTTTTTTTTATTGTATTTCATCTTAACCAGTATTTTTACTTAATCTTAAAGTTAATCATTCTTTTAACTGATAACAAAAGAATAGCGTTTGTCAAATTTTATTTCTCATTTATCAAGGAATTGACATCATAAAAAAATTTCGAAGTGACCTGCTTGAAAAGTTTGCTGGCATAGCGGACAAGGACACAGTAGCTCAATACCTCTTCTACTGGAATGGTATTTGCACTCCAACGTACGTTTATACCTTTGTTTTCAGCTAATTTTTTAAGATTTTTTTCTTGCTGATTTAATTAGTTAGGATGTAGAAGTGAAAGTAATCAGTTGTAATCTCCTGCAATTTACTAATGCTAGTCCTTTTATGATGTTAAAATAAATGAATTAATAGTGCCATGCTACAATGAATGTCAACTTAATGCAGACTAATTTTTACATGTATGTCGTTTTGTTACTTGTCAAACGTTTCAAAGACTTCATCTTCAAAGGACAGAACTCCATACAAAACGTTTCAAATTTCATTTTTAGATTAGTTGTTCACGTTTTTAATCATTCACCGCCAGTGACTTTGATAGCTGCCAGATGAATTTTTGACTGTACTTTCACATAGACGAAAAATTTTTTTACTTTTTGTAAAAACTTCAAATTAATCCACTTTATTCTCGAGTTATTTCTACTGAAGAATTGTAACAAAATGTCATATATGGGTACATATTTGCGTAGACAGATGAACAAATACTCATATATACTTGTATTTATACTTGTATATACTCATCTATACTTGTACTTATTCGTTTATATTTATTTTATTTTGATTTTGTAAATTTTTTTTATTAATTCAGAGGGGAGACGGCCTTTTTTGAACTTTCCAATCATTCCGGGTCGGCTCGTCACCCGATCTTTTTCCGCATAAATTCCCTCTGCCGTACTTTACCGATGACCTTCATAATAGGATCAAGGTCGAACTATATAGGTCACAATCTGGGCCACCAGATTAAAGCACTGAGAGAGGGCTCCTATGTGGACATTCAGGTTTGTTGTCGTTCATTGATCGGTTGGCATCTCGTTTCTAGGCGAATTCTATCAAAGTTTATATAACAGAGGCAGATGTGGGAGGTCAATTTTGTAGCGCTTTTATTTTTTAGTAACAGTTTTAGTTGAATATTACGAGCATTGTCATTCGCACACACACTTTTTACGAATAAATGTTTACTTGAAATGGATTTTCAGATGATGTTACTCGCCACTTTGCCATCAAAGTCGATTTGAAAATTTGCAGGTGGTCAATGGAGCCGGGCACTACTTATTCATAGAGAAGCACCAACTATTCAACGACCTGGTCAACCTCATCTGTTTCCGAGTGGACCACAACCTGGATAGGCTGGAAATCATGGAGAGGGATATCTCCAAATCAAAATCAGACTTCCGCAGAAAACGCAGCGAAAGTTCTCCATCCATATTCCATCACGAACCCTTCCGCTTTCCAAACAGGACATCTCCGGAATCCAACAGACCGACAAGTAAGGAGAGATCTATTCCTAACCAGAGAACGAGAAGCATCCAAAGAACAAGTACCAACCTGCCGATGACGATCGAGGAGAGCGTCAGTGAAGATAGCGATGATGACCGGCAGAAACAAGAGAGAGCTCCTCTTTTCGCTTTCGGAAATAAAAATGATTACGATTTCTAGACGGTGATTCGAATACCATACAACTGATTTCTAGATGGTGACTCGAATACCATACTTACTACTGAATGTTGTACACATCGTATGTGCGTGCATGTTTCATGTGTCTATATACCTAACAATTTGCGTACGCGCGTCTACCATGAATTTGAGATTATTTTTAGTCGCTTGTTTCGTCTCGTTTCGGTTTTAACGATACAAAGATGAGATAATGTAGGTTGATGCAACCATATATAATTATAATTATATATATATATATATATATGTATATATATATATATATACCCTGAGCTAGTTACTAAAATGTGTATTAATAGTGCTAATGGATACACTTGTATGGCATTATATTATAGCTGTGTTTATATCAACCAATATTACGATTTTACGATTGTGTGTGTGTGTGTGTATGTGAATATACATGAATATAGTATTAAAATCATCAACTAATACCGGGTATATTTTATTTCAGTACCTGTATATATATATTTTTTGAAATAAATAAATAAATGAATAATTTTACTTCGTTAATTGAGATATCTAATAACAATTAATCTAAACCATCTACAGAACGAGAAAAATATTTAAACGATGGTACAATTAAATAAAGGTAACTAACTGCACAATGATATAACATGACGTAATGTTAACAATTCATTTGTGATATTCTCACAATGAAGTTAGACCTTTCTGTAGCAACTCGATCATGTAGGGGTAGATGGCCACGAACTCCTTTCCTCCCCTGTTTGTGATTGACAGGGCGTACGACTCCAAACTACCCCTGATTAGTGCAAGTTTAAAAGTGGAGTTAAAGACTAATTATTAATTTATTCTACTAATTTAACTATAAAAATCTGACTATAAAGAATACAAAATTATGGATATAGATGTAAAAACAAAAGGAATAATGATAGTGATAATGAATAATAATAATAACGGCGATGACCATGATGGTCAGCCATACCACCTTATAAAGTGAAGTCTGTCTTTTTCGTTCGGATGATCATCCAACCATTTACTGTATCTGGAGCAGTTCCAGCCGGCAGTCTGTTGTTATTTTGTCGAGATAATTGTTATTATTATTATTATTACCCATTTTGTTTAATGCTTACCCAACAGAAGTACAATGTTAATAATTAAAAGTAGATAAGGTACTCCCAAAAGGTGTCCTATCTACCTTTTACCACCCCATCCAAGAAGTACCCTACATACCCTCTCACCCCACCCGAACGAACTTGGTAGGCGGGGCGTAAGTTGGGGTGGCCTCTGGAGAAAAGCATGTTTAAGACAAGACTCACTGGCACGCTATCACCAAGCGAAGGGGATTGGACGATCGTTTCCGGGGCTTGAAACAACATTGGTCTATTAAAGAAAAGAGAATTTAATTTTATTATCCTAATTTTAACAAATCAGAAAATGAAATTACGTATAAGTATTTGTTATTTGTTACTAGCTCACCTAACAGTCCTAACCAGCCTGTAGGACCGGCCCAAATCCGCCATCTTGTTACAAAGAGGTCCAACGGCCACTTCAATCTGCGCATAATCATTGGCCAGCCTCCTTTTACCTCCCTCGCCCAAGTACCAGATCAGGGTGGTGTGTCGCACGAACAAGTCTAGACATCGTCTGGCCGTCTGGTTCAAGCTGTAGAGATGAGTTGAATGTTAAATGTCACACGTCGGTTCAAACGTTACTTATTTATACTACCACTGTTAAATAAAAATGTTAGTTAGATCGGTGAGATAAAACCAGCTTAATAATGAAAATTAATAATAATAACAACATAAAAATAATAAAAAAGTGACCTTTGCATTATTAGGTCAGCGCATTGATAGAGTGATATGTAGGTAGCGGCAACTCTTGAGATGAACAGCTGGAGTTCCTTCATGTACAATGATACTTGCTGCTGTTGACCGTTGTCGGCTGGAAGTGGTCTGTGATTGGATGTCAGTCAATTAATCAATCATTCAATTAATTAATTGGTCGGTTTGCCAGTCAGTCAAACAATCAATCAAGCAATCTTTCAGCCAGCCAACTGATCAATCAATTAGGCAACCAATCATCAATCATTAACGACCCAACCAATCAGCTAGCCAGCCAATCAACCAATTAACTCAATAAATCAATCAACCAATTAATTCAATGAATCAAAAAGTTACAAACTGTGAAAAGTCTTCATTATGCATGGTGAGTAGAATGTCTTCAATGGCACTTCCAACTGAAGTTAGCAATGGCTGATAGGTGTTCACTATTAAGTCGTTCACACCCTGTTTGTTTGATTGACAATTTGATTGATTGATTGATTGATTGATTGATTGATTGATTGACAGCTCACCTGTAGTACTTCATTCAGATGTTGAATCACGTGGGCAGGTAGGCTGGGCATATTTGAAAATACCTGAGACGCGGTCATAAATGAGCATAATTAATTGGCACCGAATTGCCTACTTAATTAACTAACTAGCTTAACAGAACGATTAATTTGCATAATTAATTGAATAATTAAACTGATTACGAAGTAAATGTTATAGTTAATGCAGTTAAATATAAATGTAATATAAATTGTAGTTAGCGATGGTTGCAAGCCTTATTAGAAGCCTGGTAGAACTTGTAGAGAGAGTTGGCAATGTTGGCGTTGTACTTTTGGGGCTCTGTTGGCGGCCCTATGACCTGAGTGGCCTCGCCGCCAATCATTATCTGGGTGAGTGAAAGAATGAGTAAATAAATGAATGAATGAGTGAATGAATGAATGAGTGAATGATTGAATGAGTCATTAAAAATGTGAATGAACCAAAAAACGGAAAAAACTAACCAGCTGCTCGAACTTGGAGCAAGTGAGGATGATTGTCTTGCCGACGTTTCTCGCAATGGACGTGCAGAGCTTGCTGTCGAAGCTAGACACTGCCAGTTCACTTGGAGAAGTTTCATTCGTATACATCAAAAATATCTTAACGGCATGAGTAAAAGGTGGAAATAATGAGCGTGAATAAGCTTGAACAACAGCACTTGAACGACCAACCTACTTATGGCTCTAACGATTCCCTCGATATCGTTATCATTCGGAATGTTGGAAGAGTTAGACGAGAAGACGATGTTAATTGGATCAAAGAGTCTAGACAGTGATTTGGATAGGTAGGTCGTCTCAAACTGATTCGCACAGTCTATCAACTCCTTCTCGGGACTGTCAGTGAAGATGGTGTCATGTGAAGTGAAAAATTTTAATGGGGAGAAAAAGGGATAAAGAGAGAGAGAGAATGAAAGAAAGAAAAAAACGAGGAGAGAAAAAAAACAGATGAAAAAAAGAGAAAGAAAGAAGGTAAGATGATGAAGCGATAGCAAACAAAGAGCTGAAAATTAAAAATACGCCCGAAAAACTGACTCGTAATCTTCATCGGCCATTTTACCATTCTCACCGACACCACCATTTTCAAGGATTTCGCTCCCGCCAATCAACGTGGAGTCAAAGGTCACGTGACCGCCGAGCGAGTTTATGCGTCTCCAAAGGTCATTGAATAACCTTAGAAGCTTGGGGTACTCGCCCTCTAGAGCCTGCTTTAGGTATGGGCTGTCTGCAAATTTTTGTCATTTCTTAGCTCACTTTTAAAAAGTAATCCTGAAATCATTAGGTATAATAAGCAAAAAATAGATAATTGAGAAAACTGAAAGGTAGTTAAAGTGAACGATGGATGGAGTGATGGATGAATAATTCAAAATTAATTAATTTCTGCAAAATTTTAAATAGAATTATTGATTGATGTAAATAATTTCTTTTTTGATCAGCTACTTTCCGCAGATTTGTTGAACTCATCTGAGAGAAGTTTGGTGATTTGAAGCCAGAAATTTTTCAGTAAGTTTGAGTAGTTGGAGTCCTGGCAGATAATAAAACATTTAAACAATCAGTTCATTCATATTCATTCGTTCGTTCGTTTTTTCATTCATCATTTATTTATTCATTCATTCATGCATACGCTCAATCAGCCATAAATTACACATAGCAATAATAATTTTAATAATTATGCATAATAATAATAAAATATAATACCACGTTAGATTTCAAATGTTCGAGAAGCAGGGCATGCGTTACTGGGTCCCTCTTCCGAGAGAGAACTTTTTGTAAGTGGAGAACCTTGTGAGTAGTAAACCATTTGGCCGCCAGTTAGCTCAGTCGGTATAAGCGCCATGTCCCGATTTACTAATACGCGGTGACTTGGTTCAAATGCTCTCTAACTGAAACTAGAAGACTATCATACGCCATGCGTGTGAGCATGATGTGGTGGCTACACGTGCATACATAATGAGTGAGTATTTTTTGAGTAATTTTGAGTAATTCAAGTAATTGAGTATTTTTATATCATCTAGACGAACTTGTGAGTAAGATGAGTAGAGTTCGTCCATCAGCTTTTCCAAACTCATCCAGAAGGCAGCTCTTAGGGCAGCCGTGTTGCCCGACGACAGCCCCGACACCTTGCCCGGCCCACCTGGATGATGACGTCATCGTCATTACATCATCGTCGCCATCAGTAAACATGACGTCGTAATCTCTATCATCATCAATTACAAAACATCGTCAATATTTTTGTCACAATCAACGTCATCATTGTCATCATCATTAACATCCTCATTGACATCATCATCATTATTATCATCATCATCATCACCTCTCCTATCGCCCTGATAAACAAGATTGTTTATGTCCAAAGAACTTTTTAAATTATCCCGAACGCGATTTATAATATCGGACATTGTCTTATCTATGGTTGTTTCCAAGGTGTTCAAATTGTAAAATATCTGTAAGGCTGTGGCGACTTGCGTCTGGTTCTGTGTGTGTGTGTGTATGTGTGTGTGTGTGTGTGTGTCCGTCGTTTGCCTTTAACATCAAAATCTTGATCATCATTAGCATCATCATCATCACCATCACATCATCATCCTAACCTGCAAAATCATCCCTTGCTCTAGCATCTTGACCGACTGACCTTCGACCTGTTTCCTGGCTAGTTTCAGCAACTTCCTGTCCGGCTCGATGACGTCAATGTTCGATAGGTCGTAGCCGTTTGTTGATACATAATCTAGAAAGAAAAAAAAGATACAAAATAACGTAAGGTAATCTAGAAAATAAAAAGAAAGCGGGGAAATAAAATAGGATTATGTAGAGAAAGAAAAGCCATCGTCAGTAGGTATGCTATCAAATATATCAAACCATCAAAGCGAATATATCAATAAGCTATCAACATAACATATCAGTATCAATCTAACAATGGATTGATAAATGGATGGACAGATAGACTGATGAATGAATAGATAGACAGATAGATGGATGAATTAAAGACCGACAGAAAGATGAATAAATGGATAAACTGAATGGAGAGATTGATTGATCAAAGCATAGATAAATAGATGGATGAATGGATAAATTAATATATTGACGATAAATGAATGAATGAATGAATGAATAAATGAATGAAAAAAGAATAAAAACCGAGTTCATTGATGGACTGAGCGGCTTTCGTTATTTCTTTATTGCCGCCTTGCAATTGAGCCTGCAGACGTTTGCTTATATAGATGACTCTAACGATTTGTCTCAACATACCACAGGTTTCCTGATAACGATGATGACATCATGATGATGATGATGATAAGATTACGATGCCGATGATGCTGATAATGCTGATGATGATGATGTCGCGACGACGAAGATGATGATGATGATGAGAGAGTTATGAAAAAGAAAATGATACAATAATGTTAATCATATAATAATGATGATGACTATGACAGAATTAGACAAGCGATTTAGCATTAAAACATAGACACACGCACACACATACGCACAGACACACAGAGACACACACACACCAACACACACACGCACATACTTGCAGCCTCTTTAGTTGTTGAGTCCTGGCAACTATCTTACAGTATGGATCCAACACCACTGACCTTATTCTTCATTGAGTTTTTGAAAATTATTAGAAAAATTATTAAAATACGAAGGAAAAAATGAATAAATAAATGAATGAATTAATTAATTAATTAATTAATTAATTAATGAAAGAATAATCAAATTATTGAGTAGAAAACCTTTCAAGTGCAGATAACAATGAGTGGCTTCTCGTCTGCATCGTCTGCAAAACACCTGGAAAAGTAACATATAAAATCAACATCATTATCCTCATTGTCATCATCATCTTCATCATCCTCATCAACAACATCATCAACAACAGCATCATCATCATCAATGACATTGTCATCATCATCAACATCATCATTATCGTCATCGTTATCATTACTTTCCAATGCTTCAATGCCAGTGGCCTGTGAGAGAAGGTCTTCATGATGGTCACTCACCTTAAATGAATGAATGAATGAATAAATGAATGAATGAATAGATGGATGAATGAATGAATAGATAGATGGATGCATAAATGAATTAGTGAAGAAAAGAATTATTCAGATGATCATTTCATAAGCAATTTTTGAAAGAATATCCAAAAGATAATTAATAAACTCAATTTAATTAATTAGCTAATTAATTCTTTTTTTAGTAGTCATAATGTCCATTAGTATTAAAATATTAAAAGTTAATTAAAAACTTAATTGAAATAAAATGAGGCTTAACTAACTACAACATCAAATTTTATTTTAATATTGTAACTTTAATTTTAATATAATGAATCTGTGAATGAATTAGGATGGATAAATTAATGCATGGATGAGTAAATTATTGAATGGATGGATGAATTAATTTAATGAATGGATGAATTAATGTAAAATTGTGAAGGGCCACCTGTCGATGAATTTCTTTATTCAGGAGATTTATACCTTCAGATAAATTGGCAAGTTGCTGGGATACAAATTGGCCTTCTATGATTTTAGTGGCATAGGACTTTGCGTCAAATTCATTCTCAGTGAATGCTTTGAATGAATCTTCATGGTCGTGGGGATGGGGTTGAGATTAAATTTTAAAATTATGAATTAGTAAAAAAAAATATATTCTAAATTTGATTTTTAATTTAATTAGATCTTTTTTTAAATTAAAGTAAAAATGACGAAATAAAACAATTAAAACCATCTTTAGTCAGCTGATCAAGAATGAAATTTTCCGGATTATCCATAATTAAATTAGTGATTTTAGAAAATAATTTTGATTAAATAAAACAGAAACCTTTGTTTACATTTACAACGTGTACAATTTAAAAGTAAATCGAAATAACAACAGATTAAATCGTCAGTCAATTTAAATAATAATTAACGCTAAACTCCAACATTACGTAATAAATCCGCATTCAATCACATTTCCAACTTTGAAATATTAATAATTATAACTAATTTGATGAATTAAATTCACAAAATCAGAGTTTTAAAGATAACTTTTTGAATAATGATAATAGCAGCAAGAATGTATGCATGAAGCTGCAGTTACGCATAAGAAAACATGCAAATAAGCATTTAGATATCTTACTACATTACATGTGTATTGTGTTGTATTGTATTGTATGTCTACAAATTAATTGTTTCATCAATTAATAAGTTTATTTTATGCTATTTTATCTCTACTATGAGTTTGGTACTGAACGAACACAGATGAATATACTGATAATAAACTCCAAATGTTGCCTGCTGGTTTTTATACTCTGTAGAATTTGCCACCTGAAAGAAAGTTAGATACACGTTTGCACTTATTCGAACTGATATATGTAACATAAACAAACGTGAACTGTTTGAACACTCGAGAATTATAAATGTACACTACCTTCCACTCTTATTTTACTAACAGTTTAAATTGAAGAGTTCTGACATTTTCTGTATAAAAAACCGTCATTTACTCACAAATTTTTGCCTCTCTTAAGCTTTTTTAAACTCCAAGCATTTCAGATTATTCTCTAAAATCATCGAATAACCAAATTCAAACACATCATCTTATTTGTTATCAGATTGCACAACAATCAAAAGAAGCGGACCAAATCACAAAACTGGCATCTTGAAGTCTCAAGCCAACGAATCCTACCAGAACAACATCAGGTGCTACTACTACTTCGAAGCGTTGCCAGACGAAAGAGTCGAACTTAACTTCACCGTTTTCGATGTCAACGGCGTGCCACCGAGGTTTGCACGCTTTCCTATTTCTAAGATCGAGTTTTAATCGAATTAATACTTAAAATTCGAAAAATTGTGTATAGTTTTTTCTACTTTATTGTACAATTATTGGTATGGTAATCTGGAGTTCTAGTATTCAAGTTATTTCTATGTTCATTTATATATTTTAATCAAATTACAAAGTAAAATTGGGACAATCCTACGCCTAGTTTTAGTCTAATTTATCGTTTAATTGTCAATATTGTGATTTGAAATAAATTTTTTTTTGCAGATGTCTTCACGATTTCATAGACATATACACGCAGCTTGATAGTTTGAATGTAAGCCTTCTAGATGTGCCCTCTCAGGGTAGATACTGTGGTAAGGACAAGGAGAATCTGCCTTACTTAATCATTTCCGTCCGTTTTATTTCTCTTTACTTTCAGTTCAAAAATCAATTCTTGATCATGTTTCATCCTAATTTCATAATATTAATCATAAATTAATTAATAAGGATCGTTTTGAAGCCGTGGAGTAACGAAAAAGTGGAGGCCTCTAATTTTTATCACAGTCAAAAGAGCGAACATTTTTGCCTTGAAGTTTTGCCTAAAATTATTGAAGATCTATTAATTACTATTTTTTCTACAGAGACCAGTAAAAATAGGGAAAAAAATAAGTTCAGACGGAAAACTTTTTAAATTTTCTTCATTGTAAAGGTCCCTTGTTCATCCTTAGACCAGGCTCTAGCAGTAGCAATATTACGACAAAAATATTATTTAAAGACCAATCGCAGTTGTGCTGCTAAAGAATATACTTAGAATAACTTTATTAGAATACCTCAAATATTAATTTGTATTGTAAAAACATACCTCAAACGTTAATTTATATTGTAACGACAATAATATATTTGAAAACATGCAGGTAAAAAACATAGCCCTGGTCGACTTCCACACAGACAGTAGTGGAGATGGCAAAGGTTTTGAGTTGATCTATCGATTCTTTTCAGATGGTGAGAAAAACTAGTTTTTTTTCAAATAAAATTCCAATGAAATAAAAATCTATTAAATTATACTCGATATAGTGTGTTTTCATTGTTGTTTTTTTTATTGTTATGATAAAAAAACTTTCACTTTTCGTATTTTTACCACGCTTATATTAGCTTTAAACGTTTGGTTGTTTGTTTCTATAGTTCAATTCTTTTTATCAATTTCTCGATAACTTCTCATTGTCTGATTAAGTTGGAATTTTGTCAATTTTATCGAACTAGCATGAATGAATACATGAAGTTACAAATAGCAATATCCAAGCAAAACTACAATCGTACGTATGCGTACATTGCTGTTTAAATCTTTCTTTAATTTGTTTTTATAATTATGATAATTTTTTTACAGTTTTTTCTTTTTAACTTTTTAAACCCCACAGCCATATACAAAGTGGGTACTAAACTGCAGCAATACCTCTGCGGATTCCTGATTAGTGACCTAAAAGAGGGCACCATCTTGTCCCCAACCTACCCCGGCATCTACCCGGACAACATCATGTGCTTCTACAAGTTTCAGGGTGAGGTTGGAGAAAGAATCAAGTTGACCTTCAACGACATTGACCTTTATTCAGGGGGTAATTAGTAAGTTTCTGTAGAAGACCTTTCGGGAAAATAAAAACTATTTTTAGATATCATGCATAATCAAATATTTTTAAATAAATAATATATCTATTGATATGTATGTATGTGTATGTGAGTGTCTTCTCTCTCTCTCTCTCTCTCTCTCTCTCCCTCTTTCTCTCTCTCTCCCTCTTTCTCTCTCTCTCTTTCTATCTCTCTTTCTTTCTCTCTTTCTTTCTCTCTTTCTTTCTCTCTTTTCCGTTACGTCAAAAATCGTGAATACGTATTTACGAAATAACCAGCATTAAAAACTCGCATTTCCTTCAACTTACCCAGCTGTCCGTTCGACCACATAAAAATTTACGACGGGCCCAACAATGAAGCCCACGTCATCGACACCATCTGTGGCAGCCGGAAGGTCCCTATTGCTTTTTACTCCAATGGAAACTACCTGCAAGTGCATTTTACGACAACGACTGGACGGTTGGTCGGCTGTTGATTGGTTGGTTGGTTGGTTGATTGGTTGGTTGATTGGTTGGTTGGTTGGTTGATTGGTTGGTTGATTGGTTGGTTGATTGGTTGGTTGGTTGGTTGATTGGTTGGTTGATTGGTTGGTTGGTTGGTTGATTGGTTGGTTGGTTGGTTGGTTGATTGGTTGGTTGGTTGATTGGTTGGTTGATTGGTTGGTTGATTGGTTGGTTGGTTGGTTGGTTGGTTGATTGGTTGGTTGATTGGTTGGTTGGTTGGTTGGTTGGTTGGTTGATTGGTTGGTTGGTTGGTTGGTTGGTTGGTTGATTGGTTGGTTGGTTGATTGGTTGGTTGATTGGTTGGTTGATTGGTTAAATGATTGATTTGTTCTGTCCTTCATTCCGTTAATGAATGAATGAATCAATCAATCGACTAATTAATTAATTAATTAATTAGAAAGATATTCACGGTTGGTGAGAGTGACGAGACACCATCGCAACTGAGGGGTTTCAACGCCTCATTTGAAATCGGGACTCGATTTGTCGATTTGAGTTTAGTAACTCTTCTTTGATTAGTCCATATTTTTAAAAACATTTACGCATAAATTAAAAATAATAAATAAATGAGTGAATTTATGTAATGAATACTTGACTGAATGAATAGATGGATAGATGAACGAGCAAACGAACGAATGAATTAATAAATAAACAAATAAAAAACGAATATAAATTTTAATTATTAAAAATAGCAACACGAAAATTATTTGACTGAAAATTTTTGTGATTTCTTGATAAAATTAAAAAATTTTTAAATTAAAGACAGAGTGACAGAGGGCGAACACTTGCCAGGGACAGGTTAACTGTTATCCTATTCGCATTTTATATTTATCGGTGACCAAGTGACCAAGTTCAAATGCAAAAAGCTCTATCACATCGGACGTCGTCGCCATTGTCGTCACCACAACCATCACCATCATTACCAGAATGTGACCGGATCATAAGAAGCAATAGCCAATCCAGTGGGATCATTAAAAGTCCCTATTATCCGGAACCCTCCCCTCGGGACATCCTCTGCCATTACGACATTAACGGCCTAGTAGACAGGCAAAATTTAGAGAAGGTTCAACTCTTCATCGAAGATATCGACATTGGGGAGGATTATGTGGAGGAGTATGTAGATACTGTGGTTGCGAGAGGTGTGGCTGTCGGCGGTGCTGCCGCTTCTGCTGCTGCTGGGAGGAATGTTGCAAGATTTAATAGGTTGGTTGGTTTTGGTTTTCAAATTTTTTTTTCGGGTTCCTACATCTGTATGATGTGGCGCGTTTTGCTGTTTATCAATGATCTCGTGGTGTTAATTTGTATTTATCATAACGGCACTTCAGTAGCTAGAGTACCAATAACAGTGGTAGTTTTATTCATTGGAAGCAGTAGTGGTAGTAGCAGTAGTGGTAGCAACTGCAGTAGTGGTAGCAGCTGCAGTAATGTAAGTAGCAGAAGCACTACCAGTAGCAGAAAGAGTAGTAGTAAGACACATTATTAGTCCGCAACTGTAGTAGGAATAGTAGTGCAACATCATGTCACTGTCTTGTGCAGTATCACATGATGATGGTGACCACGACGATGACGAAGAAGACGATGGCTACTATACTTAATACACCAGCAGACCATCATCACCAGCAAGCACATGACCATCCTACCAACCCAACAGATCAAAATGTCAGAACGGGGCCCTCCAGGCATACACCACGAGGGCCAGCCAGAAGAGCCTTGCCATGTATAAAATCGAACTGCAGGAGCAATCCACGACTAAAGTCAGCCTGCCAATTCCGGATTATGAGTTTTGTGGGACGTCTGGGAATGGGAGGTTCGGATCTTATAGTATCACGTCAGATTCGCCCAAAATGCTTCTCATCTATGATACGTTCGGGGCAAGGTCAAGGAGGGGTTTCAAAGTTAGGTACCAGTTTTCTACGGGTGAGTAGTGATGATGATGAAAATGATGATAGTGATGATAATGATGATAGTGATGATAATGATGATAGTGATGATAATGATGATAGTGATGATAATGATGATAGTGATGATAATGATGATAGTGATGATAATGATGATAGTGATGATGACGGTGATAATGGTGAGTATGACGTCATTGACGATGATAATGATGAGTACGCGATGATGCTAATAAGAATGATTGTGATGGTGATGATGGTGATAGTGAGAGTGATGATGGTGATAATGATGGTGACGATGGTGATAATGATGATAGTGAGGGTGATGATGATGATGGATGCCACTGATGAGAATGATTTTGACGCCGATTGTTATTATTTCTATTGCAAATTTCTGTTGTTATTATGATAATTATGACGTCACAATTCTGATCACGTGATCATAATCATCATCATCGACGTCATCACGTGACTGACCCAAACAGACTACGCCATACCGGGTACAGCTATTAGCGGGGAATCGCCCTGCCATTTCCAGTATATGAGTACATCGGCTATACAGGTGGATAACATCGTCATCATCACCAACATAGTCATTATCATCATCACCACCATCATCATAATCATCCTCACCACCATTACCATCATCATCACTCGCCACCACCACCATCATCATCATTGCCACCACTACCATCATTATCATCATCACAGGCACCACCAACATATTATCGTCATCATCATCATCACCAGCATCATCATTATCACCACCATTTATCATCACCACAACCACCAGCATCATCATCATCATCATCATAATTGTTAGGGCACCTTTAATTCTCCCCGCCACCCTTCTAACTACCCCGACAACACCTACTGCGTGTATGAATTCCACGGTCAGCCCGATGAGATTGTGAGGTTGACCTTTGAAAATTTTCAAGTCGAAGATGATGCCAAGTGCGTCTGTTTGTTTGTTTATTTGTTTGTATGTTTGTATGTTTGTTTGTTATTTGAGTTTGTATGTTTCTACGTTGTATGTTTGTTTGTTGGTTTGTATGTACGTATTTATGTTTCTATGTCTGTATGTCGTATGTTTGTTGGTTAGTTTTTCGTTCGTGCTCTTTTTCGCTCGTGCATCTGCACATGTCTACGCATGTACAGACAAACATAAATGCGCGCGCACACACACACGCGCACGCACACACACATACACACACCACAACACACACAGACACACACGCACGCACGCACACGCACACACACACACACACACTTAGCTGTTCTAAAGATTTCGTGAAGATTTTTAAATGGTTGCCGCCCAAGCTTGAAGAAGAAGGACAGCAGCAGCAGCAGGTGGAGAATCTGGAATTCGTGCCTGTGGGCCATTACTGCGGGGAGAGGTTTCCAGGGCCCCAAGATGAAGATAGTCAGGTGGTGGTGGGGATGGTGGTGATTTGATGATGATAATGATGATTTGGTGATGTTGATAACGATGATTTGGTGATGATTTGATGATGTTAGTTGAAAATTTGATGATCACGTGATAAGAGTGAATGTTACAGCAAAATTGATAGCATTAAAAAGTTACAACTGATGAAAACGACGGGAAAAGTGCCTTTATTTTAAAATTTGACCTTTTGACCTTTAAAGATCATGAGAGTGACCTTGAACTCTGACGGACACACAGTTTACAAGGGGTTTAGAGCTCGTTATGAATTTGTCAAGAGGCAACCGCCAGACAAAAGTAATTTATTGTTTGTCGTAATTATTGTATCTTCATTCTCTCTCTCCCTCCCTTTTTCTCTCTCTCTCTATCTGGTCCTCTTCCTTGTTCTCTTTCTTTCTTTATATTTTTCTTTTTTTTTCTCTGTGGCTAATTCGTCCGTAGTAATTGTAAGTTTTATCAATATTCTCATCACAACTTATCATCATCACTATCTATAGTCATCAGCATCATCGTCAGCATCATCGTCAGCATCATCGTCAGCATCATCGTCAGCATCATCATCTTCACAACAACCACCACCACCCCACTTCAGAGTGTTTCCACAGCATCACGAACATCGGGGGCGGGGTCATAAACTCCCCCAACTACCCCCACAAATACACGACCAATAAGACTTGCGAGTGGATCGTGTACGGCCGTTCCAAAGCCAATAAGATTCTTCTGACGTTTGATATTTTTAGCATCGAGGGAAATCCCAACGAAAGTTGGTCTTTGAAATTTTGAAAAGCTACTACTACTACTACCTACTACTGCTACTACTACTGCTACTACTACTACTACTACTACTACTACTACTACTACTACTACGGCTTCTACTATTACGACTGCTGCTACTACTAGTAATACACGTACTAATACTGATGTTACTGCTGCTACTACTACAACTTTTCAATTATAATTTCTCAATTTTTCCCTTTCCCACTTGGATTGTCTCTCTGATGCGTTCAACTTTTTTAATTTGTTGGCTTTAAATGGCAGGTTTTTTTCCTTAGGGACAGTAAAATAGCATCTCACTGTTTTGTAAAAAATAAAAATTTTGGTAAAATTTTTTTAAAACGTCTTTTTGAAGAAAAAAGCTTCAAATCAAATCAAACCAAATTGAGCGTAGAGATCGGTTGTGGGAATGCAGTCCTGAAGATCTACTCGACGTCTCGGAGCAACATGCCAGCCTACGAACTCTGCGGCGACAATGACACCATCGATAACCTCCAGATCATCACCAAATCTAATGTCCTCAGATTAAAGTTTGGATGAAGTTTGGATGAAGATGATGACGACGACGATGATGTTGTTGTTTGAATGGCGTTGTTTATTTTTTCTTTTAAAACTACACATTGGAAAACTGCTACCCCTTCGCATTAAGAATTCTTCAACCCGCAACACACCACACGCAGATTTGTCAGCACAGCTAAAGCCACCGGAGGAAAAGGGTTCCGACTGCCCTGGACCGAGATACTGCCCATGAAGGGAGGCAGATGTCCAGGGTTCCTCTGCGAGAAGAGTGGACACTGCATACCAAATGACATGAAGTGCAACGGCGTGGCAAATTGTGGAAAGAATGACCGCTCTGACGAGTTAAAAAACTGTTCGTTCAATTTTCAATTTGCGATATCATAATTTTTTTTCACGTTTTTCGATCATTTGCTGTACATTATGCTTATAATATTATGCTTTACAATTGTTATAATTTTATTTTATTATGAATTTTTTATTATTGACAGGCGGTGAGTACTTCTTTCGATTCCAACATTCTTCTACAATTAAGCCTACTCCTTTATATAAGTTTTTTTTTCAAATTTTTCTCTAAATTTTGATTTTGTAATAATCTTTTTTAGTGGATGTTTTTTTGAACAAAAATTGAAATAACAATCACTCGTCGATTGGCTAATTTAATCAACCAATCATTGGCTGATTTAATCGACTAATCATTGATCACGCAACCAACCAACCAATCACAAAGGTTCACCATACAGAGAGACCAGCACACTGAATGTCGTCCTCTGTGTCCTCGGCGTCTGCTTCCTCCTTCTCATCCTCGGCGGGCTACTCTGGCTCTACTGCAAAAGGAAGAAAAAGAAACCGGAAAAGGATCAAAAAATTCCGGAAGTACGTATCGTTACTGGGGTTTCCGAAAAACGTCCTCGGAGTGCAAATCGTAAAAAGAGAAGGAAGAAACGCAGGATGAAGGAGAAGACGGAGATGATCACGATCATGTGACCGGATTGCGATCATGTGACCATCCTCAAAAGCAAAGTTATCACATTATCATTAATCCGTGATCATCATCATTATCACGTGATCGCCATCATCATCATCATCGTAATCTTGCGACCGGTGTTGCTTTAAGTTTGATGATTTTAGGATTAGGAAATTGCTGCGTTGTAAGAGTGTCTTATCTTTCTTCATTAACAATCATTAACTATTGTTATTATCACTATTGTTATCATTATTGTTGTTGTTATTATTGTTTGTTTGTTGTTATTGATGTTGTTTTTAAATATGGTACGTTGAAAACAGAGCGTTTCGTTGTAATCGTTGTCGCCAATCAATCATAACATTAAAAAGTATAGAATGAAATTTTTAAAAATTCTCAACAAGTATAATCAGTCACCGTGTACAATGTGCATCATTGTCATCATCATCATCACCACCATCATCATCATTTATATCATTATCATCGTGATCGTCGTCATCATCATCATCATCATCATCATTCACGATATTCAGTTCAACTGCTCTTATGAAATGTCTCAACCTACTACAACAGCTGCCCATGAGTTTATTTAGCATGAGTTTTTTCAACAATTTATTATTATTTATATTATTATCATCATCTAATTTTATCATGTTTCTTATTGTTTCCACAGTCCGTATTATTATTATTACTGTTATTATTGTTATTTAAATGTTTGCTTGCTATTAGCAATTATCATTTTTATTAACGTTAATTTAAACGAATAGCTTTTATTTATAGTTAATTAGATAGTTAATTAATTTGAAAAAAATGATTATTGCGACAAAATGCACATCACACACACATACGCACACATATATAGAGAATATAGAGACACACACACAGACAGACATACACACACACACACAAACATACACGATCATCTTTGAATCTTTTTAGAATCAAAATACCATAATGATTTGCCTGATTTTATTTTATTACACAAACAATATTTAAAAAAAATATCCCCACGGTTTCTCATCTTTTCTTCCTGGAGGAATAAAAATAATAAATAATATAATTATTATATTGCAACTATAATAATACGAATATCAATTTTATTTATTATTAGTATTCTCATTGCTTGTTGATAAGCATTGTGGTGTTTATTATAATCAACAATAATGTAGACTGTTACGACAACAACCACAACAACAACAACAACAATAATAATAATAAATAACAACAGCAATAATAATAAACAAAAATAATAATAATATTAATAATATTATATATACTGTTATTAATATATATATATATATTATATTATATAATAAAATTCAATAACAACGAACCATGTATATTTCCTTCGAGCACCCTGCTGACCTGGCTTCTGTCTTTCTAACCTCCTCGGATCATGTGTCAGTAGGCCAGCTAAATAATAATAATAACCATAATAATAATAATAACCATAATAATAATAATTCTGTAAAAATAATAATAATAACAACGTCAACTTACCCAATCTCAATTTTTCCACCATACCACTCGGCACCATCTGTATTAAACATTTGGACAGGGCTAGTCTGGTGATATATGTAAATAATAATTAATATTTATGAGTAAATAAATAATAATTATGATAATAATTGATACAAATGATAATAATAATGAATAATTAACAATATAAATTATAGTAACAACAATGAAAAGAAAATCAATGGCTCTGTGAACATTCAAAAAGATTAACGTACAAATGTAAGAATAAATTAATTTAATTAATAAGAATAATAAATAAAAAAATAAATAAACAATAATAAAAGATGACGATTCAGCGTGCAGTCGAACCTGATAGCTCCGGCTTGACCGCTTGTACCTCCATGCTCTACTGTGGCCTCTATGTCAACTTTGCATAGTTTGTCGGTCAGTTGTAGGGGGAAGAGAACTTGTTCCCTTTTTGTTAGTTCGGAATAATTTTTAAAAAAATATTTTCAATTATAGAAATTATAGTTATATACAATAACACACAGACACACATACACACGCACGCACGCACACACACACACAAACACACGCACGCACACAACAAACAGCTGATCTCAGAAGATAAGAATAAGTTTACGAATGTGTAAACCATGGATAGATAGATGGAAGAATAAACGAATAGATAGACGAATGAATAGGTGAATGAATGAATGAATAAATAGGTGAATGAATGAATAAATGAATGAATGAATGAATGGATAAACAAATAAAGTTAAAAAGTACTGAAATCGCCATTTTTTTTTATTGAAACTGCACCTGTCAGCCAATCTTGGAAAAAAATCGAGGAATGGTCTTCCATTGACCGTGACGATTCCAGTGCCCTTTTCATACAGCCTCACTTTGGCCATTGCTGTCTTTCTCTTACCTACAAAATACCCCAAAGCAAAATATTAGTAGTAGTACAATCTTGATTTGTTTATGTGTGTGTGTACGTGATTGTTTGTGTGTGTGTAAGTACGTAGTTTGTGTGTGTGTGTGTGTGTATGTACGTATGAGTTTGTTTTGTTGTATGTGCATATCTTAATTTTTGTACCGCAAATTACGCAGACATACATGTATAACACACAAATGGTAGGTACGTACCTTCATCTTCATGGAATCCTTTACCCTTAGCATCATATTGAACCTTGAGCAGATCAAAATCAGAAAAAAATAAGAATAATCACAAACAGCATCAAATTCAGACAACATCACATGCAAACAAACAAACAAGCACACACACACAAACACAAACAACAACAAAACTAAAAAACGGTTTTTTCTGTAGATCAAGTATCGTTTTGAGTTTTAAGATCCAGTCTATATTGAAAGAAACAACAAACAACACAGCCCAAACAACAAAAACACACTAACAGACAAACAAACAACACAAATAAACAACGAAAACCAAGACCCACAGCTTTTTTCTCTAGGTTAAGCATTAAATTTTGCCTCTTAAGATCCAGCCTATACTGAAATATCAGCACCCTCTCCATGTAAGAGTATGGTAACTTGCTTAAGTGTTCCAACGTTGATATTAACACGTTGTACTGGTTGGATGAATGATGGATGGATGAAAGGAATGATTGATTGATAGATAAAAGGATCGATAGATAGATGGATGAAAGGATTGATTGAATGATATAGGAATAGATAGATAGATAGATTGATTGATAGAAGGATTGGTTGATAGATGGGTGGATGGATTGGTAGAAAGATAGATGGATGAATGGATTGATGGATAGATGAATGGACAGGGATGGATGGATGGATGGATTGATAGCTAGATGGATGATTCAACTGAATAGTGATAATAGTACTTCTTGCTCGGATAATTTTTCACTGAACTTATCTTCCATCGTATTATGATCATACCATTGACTGCCTGTTAGCTTACTGCAAAAATAAACTTCACTAATTTATAAAGAATAAATAATAACTAAAATAAAATAAAAACATTATCATTATATAATAATTATTAAAATAATAATAATAATAATAATAATAGTTACAGCTGCTGTGATTGGTCAAATTTCACACCCAATGTAATCCTATCACCTTCATATTTCTTCAACTCTACCAACTTTAGTGATAAGTTCTGTGAGTGTGTGTGTGTGTGTGTATGTATTTGGATGTGTTAGTATATGCGCACGTATGTTTCTATGTGTTTGTTGTGTGTGTGTGTTAAAATTATAACACTACAATAACACGATAATCGAAGTAGCAAGCAACTAAAAATACAGAAAAAATGCATACAACAACTGCAACAACAATAATAAAAATAATAAGAAGAAAAAAAGAATAAAAATAATACTGCTAACATGTAAACATTCAACATAGGTGGGCTTGCCAGTATAGAAAAAACTGCTATAAGGCCGGCCATCCAGTCCAAATTGGGCAGCTATTATTGATGATATTATATTTATTCATTTATTTATTATGATTATTATTATTATTATTCGTGTTGTTACTGACCTTTTTGTTTCGGCAGAATTTCTAATGGATGCTTCACAAATGAGGAATAATAAGAAAGTAAGTGAGTATATAGGTATTGACAATTATATTTCATATTTATTTGAATACAATAATTAGACTTAATAAAAACAAAAAATAAATATTAATAATTAAAATAATAATTATTAATATTAATTATTTATATTAGAACGAACTTTTAACATGGGCCGAGCTTTTTTGACAAATAAACCAGAGGGCAACAGATACTCGATGGCTTTCTTTATAAGATGAAAAAAAAATTTAATTTAATTCAAATATTATTAACATTAAAATTAACTTTTAATATTTTATAAAAATTAAATTAAAAATAATAAGATAATTCATTATTCATATAAAAATTAAAAAAATTCAGAACAATAATCTAGTCCACAGACGTCTATATCGTCCTGGGTTATGTTTTCAGGATCGAGTCCCATGATATTTGCCAAGTGTCGTCTGCCCATCTCAAACTCTGCAATCTCTTCACTCATAAATGCATCTTGTGTGATGAGATTATTATTTTTTTCATTATTTAATTAAATTATATAATTATCACTCACAATAATCATGGTTTAAAAAATGAATTTAAAAAAAAAATTAATTGTACGTGTTTTGTGTTCTATGTGTTTACTTTCATCCCAATTTAAATTTAAGACTAGACTTTGATATAAATGAGCAGAATGGAATATTTTATTTTCATCTATCTATTTGTTCTTTGTTGTAATTAGGGAACTAAATTTAAAACTAAATTCTTAAAAATATTATAAAAATTTGTAAAAAAAATTGATTAGTGAGAACAGACTGTGCGCTTGGGCCCTTTCCAAGTACATTCTCATGGCCTTGCTGATTTTTTGTGCTTTTTCTTGGCCGGCATTTCCTACCGTAGGCTGGTTTTGAAATTTTTGATTAGTGGAACAGACACATCTGGTTGATCGGATTAGGACTGTTATCTTAATCGAAAAAATTGTAATCATCATTATGATTGTATTTATCCAATCTTTTAGGAATAATTTTAAAAATAATTTCTTACTAAATGTGTACTTTGGCATGATACTCGGAAAGTTTGGGAGAGGAAACTTTTAATCATTTTAATATCGTTTGCAAAGAACTATGTAACACTCGAACTATTCAATAGTCTGCAAGTTTTTGTAGATAACTATGGAGTTGTGGGATTAAAATAAAACTAAACCAAAACCTACCATTTGAACATTACTCCTATCAGTAACCGTTTGCATGGTACAGACGAAAATAAAATAATACAATTTTTAATGGCAATTATCATTTAAAATAGATCTTACAATTAATCTTTTAAATTTTCAGTATAATTTACATAATAACAACGTTGAAAACAAAATTTGAACTATTTAAATGTGATGAAACTTTAATAAAATGAAGGATAATCTGTAAAATGGTCTCTTTCTAAAAAAAAAAGGTTACAGAATGATCTTGATAGTTAGGTGACAAATTTTTCTAAAAATAAGAAACTTTAAATAAAATTCAGACATAATCTACTCTTAATTAGTAAGGATTAAATATTGAAAATGTCAAATTTATATTGAAAAATTATAAAAAAAGATTCATGCTAAAATTGGCGAAACATGATGATCCTCAACAAACATCGTTCACATCAGTCTAAATCACGCAACTAAAACAAATAAATCAACCCTGCAAAGTAACAAACAACGATGGGCGATAACAATAGCAACAACAACACAATGACAACTACAAATAAACTGTTAAACATTCCAAACAAATAATTATTAACATGCTTCATCTATGGCAAGACATACTAAAAAGGAATACTACTACTACTGCTACTTTTACTACTACTACTACTACTACTACTACTACTACTACTACTACTACTACTACTACTACTATTACTACTACTACTAATAATAATAATAATAAATAATGATAATAGAAAAGACCTACAAAACTGAACAAACATAAAATGTAACAATGTAAAACTAATTTAACAATGCACTTTAGTGTAATGGTATATACATACTCATAAATGTATGTATGTGTATATATATATATATATATATATATATATATATATATATGAATGTATATATATAAATAAATATATATATTTATATATATGTATATAATTGGATTGGTCATCGCAAAGAATGCTCTAAAATATCTCATGATCAGAAAATGATGAAAAAGTGTTGGTTAAATGGCATTAATGATGTCATTATGCGCGTATGATATTATTAGATGAAAGATATCTTTTAAAAGTTCTTGAAACAAACTCAAAAGATTAATAATATTATTATTTATCTTAAAAATAATAATGGTTAAATATTAAAAGATGAGGTCAAATGAACGGGTGTGTACAATATACATACCTACATATAGACTTGTGTATAATGCTTGTGTATAGGTACGTTGTTGTACATTCTGAACGATTGGTGAGAAATTTGAAGATAAATAGATTTTCATAAATAGGACACTATATAATACGTTGATCAAACAATATCAATCAAATTAATCAATCAATTAAATCAATCAATCAATCATTCAGCAAATCAGTCGATAAAGTATAATAAACAATATGCTGGGCAATTTAAAATTATGAACCAGAGAGCAGTTTCGAAATAATGAACTAGTTTCAACAGTTTACATAAAAACAAAATGAAAAGATAAAACTAAATAAAATGAAATTACATTTAAACTGAAATAAACAGCAAAACAATCAAACGAACAGCCGGGCAGACAGACAAACATAAGCACACACAAACAAACAGTAGAATTGTACGATGGCTTGTATGTTGATCAATACATACAATATAAATATTACATACGAGAACGCATCTATTACATAAAAATCATATACTTCGCACAATATATGTAAATCTTAAACTAAAGAAAACGCCTGACATAGCGTGTTATGCAAATAAGTGACGTAAAATAACTAGAGAACATTGTTCTATAAAATGAACTTTTTTAAGACTGCTACTGAACGAACATTCACCTCAAAGTATATAAATGTTGATGAAAATCACAGCATGTTCCGCGTTAGTCAACTTATGTATATGTGCTTGAGCAGTTGACTACATACACAGCATATCAATTCGAACACAGAAGGAATACTGGAAAAAACTTTTCTGTTCTACCATGCTTAAAATAAACAAAATTTTCGGTTTTGAACTCAAGAAACTTGAGAATGATTTACGATCTACCGTTAGAAAAACGAAAAAGTAAGCAGGAAGTTTACTAACGTGGAATATATATATATATATATTCGATAACATATATATATATGTATATATATGTTATCGAATTATTATATACATATATATATATATATATTTGCGTGTGTGTGCGTGCGTATGTGTACATACAAACATACACATGAAAATGATATGAAGATATGCAATAATCATTAAGAAATCTGCTGTGAACGGAAAATAAACCAATTATAATAGTATAATAATAATGGTGGATTAAATTAAAAATTATATATACCCACAATTAATCATAAGAATATTTTAGCAGACTTTCTTGCCGTAGTTTGAGCTGGTAGTTTCGATCTCTGAAACGGCAATCATCTTTCTGACAAGAGAATATACTGAAATGATAAAAAAGAAACGAATGAATATTTAAAATATTAATACAATAATAATACCTTAATAACCATTGAAATAATATAATAAATAATCAAAAACTACTGAAACAAAACAAAATTCGAAATCCACTCTCAAAAAAGATACCTCCGATGAAAAACACCAGAGCGCAGAACTGCAGTAACAAAGAGCCAGTAACCAGTAAATAAGTAACGTAGTAAGAAATAGGTAATCCGGTAGTCAATGCCCAAAATGACCACATGATTAGGTCGTTGGGTCTTCTGTAAGTTACAATCTCTGTACCTTTTTTGAAGCAACCATGTTTCACAAACTCCTCATATAAATCATCCTGTGGTGGGTTTTTCCAAGTTTATCATTGTGGTTTTATTACAGTAGTATTTTGCTGTTACTGTTATCATAAAGATAAAAGTTATGCCAACTTTTTGCTTGTAGTGGTTTTGAAGCCAGGCTGCGCAGGCTTCTTCGTTATCAGTAGGTATGTCGCAGAGTGGAATCCTCCTTGTTTTTTGGATTTCAGATCACGGAGATGTACAAACAACACACAGGCAAACAGATACAACATACACAGCCACAGACAAACTACAAACAAATAAACTCGAAACAGCCACACACAAAAACCTCTGCCACACAATAAAACTTACCTACACACATATAAACGTGCACATAAACAAACAAACAAACAACATAGATGTAAACATACCTAGCATACATATATGCCCTACATGATTTTCCCTGTAATATGCTCATAAGAGTAGGAGATGCACTATCCTTTGCAAATGCTATTGTCAGGTCTAATACTGCTGGCACTGTAGCAATATTATTACAAGGTTTACTATTATATTTAGCCTTTTACATCAGGATCAGAAGAATGAATTTCACTCCCAAATAACCTTTTTCTTTCAAGCCATACATGGACAGAGTGAATCCCTTGGTCCTAGGAGAGAGATGATGCTTAAGGATGGGCAGGTTGTGCTTGGCTGCAAACTCCATGCTGAGTTTGTGCTTTGACTCAGTGAATCGAGTTCCTTCGCAGAATAGCAACAACTGTTTTGGTGGTTTTAGAAAATTTTTTCTTTAGATTTTTCATAAATTATCTATTTACAACAGCGTTAGGTAACATGCTCGTGAACAAGTCATTTCTCATATCATTAAAGAACAAAAACACAAAAATCAGAGAACTGCTAACAGTAAACCAGTATTTATCAGGAAAATCCTTGATATAATTGAGATCCCTGGCAATGATCTGCCTGTCCTTCTCCCAGTTCCTCTTCAAGAATATACTTTCTGCAAAGAACCAGGCCCAACCGAGCAGTGGAACCAATCGAAGGCTTGATTTTCCATAAATTTTTGTTCCCTAAAATATAAAATTAAAACAAAACTTTTTAGAATTTTAAATTTTATTATAAAACTAAAAAATATAAAACTACTAAAAGTAAAACAATCCCAAAATCTATAACTCAGAATGGAAATTATGACAAGTTAATGTGTCAAACATTTGAATAAAATATTTCTACACAATGATTGGAGTACTAAATACAAAAAGGAAAAAAATACAAAAACTAGAGACCCCTAGCATTTTAAATCTTTCAGAAAGTATCCAAGACATGAGCCAATCGATATCATATTTGTGATTCATGATGACAATTGTATGCTCGTTTCCAATGTACTTCAGTATCGTTGGGTCCTCTAATAATAAGGTGCAATCAGATCCAGACCACCATTGCCCTAGGAAGGTAAATTCTGGAAAATATTTAGTTTAATCAATAAAGATGTAAATGAAGTTTAAAAATTAAATATTATAAAAAAATAATGTAAAGATGAAATTAAAAAATGTACAAGAACACATACGAGACCAATGGGCATAAGCCAGATACACAATGATTTTTCTATAGAGAGATTTACTGAAAGGCCAAACAAGTAGAAATGTCAACAGCATCAAGAAGCAGACGATCAAGCCACTTGATACAAAGGTCACACCAAGAAATAGATGAAAAGGTATGAAATTTGCTTTTAGCCATTTTATAACCTCCATTTTAAATTTTCAGTAATTTAATAATTTGAGTAGGTTTATGTCTTTCTTTCTATATTCAACCGCCAATTTTTAATTGTAAAATTCCTGGAAAAAATTAATAATTAATTATTAAATTTTAATTTGACTAAATAAACAAAAAAAATTGAATAAAATTATTAATTTAATATTAATTTAATTAAAATAAAATTATTTAAAAAAAATATGCAAAACAAAAGATTGGACTTGATTTTTTTTTTACTAACAACATGAAGTTCACTAATTTTGCAAATTAACTCAATCTCACTGTCACTTCAGTTTCAGTTTAGAGTTCAGTTTCAGCAGTTTAATTCAAAACCACAAAATTAAAAAAACAGTATGATCAAATAAAAGCTTCTAAATTAAAAAACCGGTGAACGATTTAATATAACTTTTTAATTAATTAAATAGTTTAAAATTAAATAAATAATCCATTCAATTCTAAAAGCAAAGTTTAATTGCTCAACTATCCGATTTTCTTTTCCTCGAGTTTCGATCTAATAACTTTTAAACAAAACACTGACGACCATCATATGCGCTAGATAATGATTTAGCTAAATCGTTAATTTTGAAAAACTAATGTAACGTTTAAATTTATTTTTATTGTTTTATGTACACTTATGTACCAAGATCTACCTGATTGAAGATCTATCAGCTTCAATTATCTCGGAAAACACTGGAAAGATTGCAGGGAGAAGATGTCGCGGTCAACAACGAATAACATTCGTGAAGTCCTTGTGTCACTTGTTGAATATTATCACATTTAACTGCTACAAAGTGTTTAAGATCTGGTTTTGTGGAGTTCGATGGTCAATAATATCCTGAAAAGATAAGGCACAAAAAAGAGAAGAGATACTTATACGATTTGCAGAAAAAATTTGTGTTTTGCTGAAAAAGTAATACTAATAAAATGTCTTAGTTTTACTTTGAAATTATTATAAATAAATAACCTAATACCGTTGGAGCGTGAGTGGTATAGCGGTAGCATAGTTGCCTTCCAAGCAATTGACCCGGGTTCGACTCCCGGCTCACGCATCTTTTTAGTTTCATCACGGATTTTTTTTTACCTTTTTAACAACAAATTTCAATAGAAAGATAATTTTGCAGAATTAACATAAAAATGATGTGCTTGTGCTACGTAAACTTTTTTCAATTGTTAGGTCAAAATGATTATTGCGGTATCATAAAAATGACGTATGTTAGTGGGTATTATACATACATTTAGACAAACAAACATACAGACAGATAAACAAACAAATAGACAGACAGACATACAGACAGACAGATAGACAAACGGACAGACAGACAAACATACAGACAGACAGATAGACAAACAAATAGACAGAAAAACACACAGATAGACAAACATACATAAATCAACATAAAACCATGTAAACTAAACAAATTATAAGACAAAAAACTGAAAAAAAAAATGAAAAAAGCGCTTGTCACGCATGCTACATAAAAATTGGGGAAAATCAAAGAGGAAATGTAGAGAAAAATCAAGACCCAATAAAAAAATACAAAATACAAATATATACAAAAGATACAAAGGTATAGATACACAAATGTACTACAAAGTGATAGAACCAGAAAAAAAATTGTAAAAGATACACTTATTTACAAAGAGATAAAAAATACCCGGAGAAACAAAAAATACATTGAAAGAAAAAATATAAAAATGAGATACTAAGAGAGATACAATAAAGATACAAAAAATACAAAGAAAATACCGAAACAAACATAGAAACGTACGTAAAAGACGTATTGGCAGACGAATAGGGAATTGTTTGTTGGGATTAAATTTTTTCCGACTATCCATTGCATGTCTGATAATCAGCATTATCTTCCTATTGTTTGCGTGCATGTAATTTTGTTTGTTTGTATCTTTTTTGTTTGTATCTTTTTTGTTTGTATCATTGTATGTTTTTTGTTTGTTGTTCTGTTTGTTCGTTCGTTCGTCTGAATGCATATGTATAACTTGTTTGTTTGTATCATTTCTACCTATTTCTTCTCTTTTTTTTTGAATCGTATCTTTGTATTTTGTGTTAGTAGACATGAACATTTCATTTGGCTGTTGTATTATTTTCGTGTGTGTATGTATGTGTGTGAATGTATGTGTATGTGCGTGCGCGTCTGTGTGCGTGTGTGTGTATCTGTTTCGAAGGGAAGACATCCATCCATGTTATGTTACTTTCTACTGTGTTTTCTAATTGGGAAGTCACTTTAATGCTTTTTTCATGCTTGTCATTCGTTCTTTTGCTCCTACATTCCCTCTGTTTTGTATTCTTTCATTAGCTCGTTTCGTCATTCATTCATTCATTCATTCATTCATTCATTCATTCATTCATTCATTCATTCATTCATTCATTCATTTGTTTATGTGTTAGTTCAGTTGTAAATTTCATAATTTAATTGGATGCTCATAGGAGAGTTCATTAATCTATTTCATCTTTTATTCGTTTTTTAATATAACTTTTCTTTCGTTCAGCCACATCAGTTGACATTCATTCATTCGTTCGTTCTTTCATTCCTCTTTATATTCATTCAGTCTTTTTTTCACGTTTTTTTCATTTATTCATCCATTCATTCATTCATCCATTTGTTTATTTATTCATCCACTCTTACGTTCCAGCATTCATGACGTCATTATTTACTTACCATATTAATTGTTTCAATAATTGCTTCATAAAAAAAACTCTCTCTCTACTACTTTTGTCCGTCAATCAATCATTCATCTGTTCATTCAATCGTTTTCTCTTTCGCTCATTTATTCATTCATTCATTCATTCACTCACTCACTTACTCACTCACTCGCTCACTCACTCACTCACTCACTCACTCACTCGCTCACTCACTCACTCACTCGCTCATTCATTCATTCACTCACTCACTCACTCACTCACTCACTCACTCACTCACTCACTCACTCACTCACTCACTCACTCACTCACTCACTCACTCACTCACTCACTCACTCACTCACTCACTCACTCACTCACTCACTCACTCACTCACTCACTCACTCACTCACTCACTCACTCACTCACTCACTCACTCGCTCACTCACTCACTCGCTCGCTCACTCGCTCACTCACTCGCTCACTCGCTCATTCATTCATTCACTCGCTCACTCGCTCATTCATTCATTCATTCATGCATTTATTCAGCTTCCTATTAATTCACTATATCAGTGTACGTATGTTTGTTGTGTATATGCATGCATGTGTGTACGTCTGTGTGCGTGTGTATGAGTGCGTATGTATGTGTGTAAGTGTGTATGCATGTGTGTATGTATATATGTTTGTATGTTAGTTTTTGTTTGAAGAAACAACCGCATACATGATAGTTATTGGAAAATAGATTGAATGACAGACAGACGTTTGGATGGATGGGTGGATAGGTATGGATGAATGGATAGATGAATGGATGTATTTGTGTATGTATGTATGTATGTGTATGTATGTATGTATGTGTATTTATGTATGTGTGTATATGTATGGAAAAACAAAACATAAACAGTTAAGCAAAAACATAAACAAAGGCCTCGCGACTAGCCCATAATGTCCTTATACATCAGGCACTTTCATTCTCTCTCTCTCTCTCTCTCACTCTCTTTCTTTCGTAATCCATCTCTCTATACTTTGTATACAATATAATATAATATAATACATACTGCATACCATTATTATATATTTATATAAAATATATATATATATATATATATATATATATATATATATATATATATATATATTATTTGTATGTACTTGTTCAATTTACAGATTAAAATTTGTGAATTCAAGTGCAGCCTATATATATATATATATATATATATATATATATATATATATATACAAACCCAATACACACACTACTTAACACATAAAAACGTGAGTACACACACATACACACACACACACACACACACATATATATATATATATATATATATATACATCATCATCATCATCAGAATAACCATCGTCGTCGTCATCACCTTCATCAGAGTGATCATCCTTCCTTCTTAATAAAATTCACGTAAGTGCGCGCGTGTGTGTGTGTGCCAGGATAGCCGAGCCAGTTCAGAGTGGAAAATTATTTATTTATTATGTTTTATTTATTTTTAATTTAAAATACTAAGGATAACAATAATAATTATAGTAATAATAATATTAATAATAATAATAGTAATAATAATAGTAATAGTAATAATAATAATAATAATTAAAAATGGGATAGTACAGAAGATTTCGTTTGAAGATTTCAAGAATATTGTTTTGACGAACGGACGAAGTAAGAAAATTTATTGTTGTTGTTATTAGTATTATTATTACTGTTATTATTATTGTTATGATTATTGATTTTACTGGTTTTTTTCAATAATAAATTCACATTATTGTTATTATTATTATTATTGTTGTTATTATTATTGTTATTATTATTATTATTATTATTATCGTTAATTTCAACATTATTGATATTATTATTGTATGTATGTATTTTTAATGTAATGGCGTCCAAGACGGTTGTCATTAATGAAATGCTGTATTTTTTAACAAATAATTTTGATATAATTGATAATGAAGCTTTCGTTTTCAATATTTCGGAATTTTATTCACAAGAGGAAGTTGGTAGTGGTTTAAAATGTTTAAAAAATGAATTGGAACTGTACAAAATTGAAATTACTATAAAATTGATTTCTCATGGAACAAATAAAAAGGACAAGGTGGCGGACTGCATCGACATTCTCGAGTGTCTTAAAACAAATAATTTATATGAAAAATGTCCGGTTTTTGTTAGCAAAGATTTGGAAAGAGTTCCTAAATTGGAAAATATAATTAAAATTAATTTTGAAAATCTACGGAATGAAATTAGTGGAATGTTAGCTAAACAGCAGGTGTGTTTGTTGGATACGTTTGAAAGTTGTAAAAAACAATTGACACAGGTGGATTCGTTCAACAAACAAATATTCCAGTTGAACGAAAAGTTGAATTCACTAAAGCCCAATTATGATAAAACGTTAATTTCTGCAGAAAATACTAAAGATAGTAACAGTTTGCCTCGAGCATTGAATGACGCTAATTCGAATAAATATACGAACAAAAATGTTACTCTAGGCAATGAAGTAATAAAAACGCCAACAAATACTGTAAAATTTTCATGGGCCGATAGAGCTAATAATGATGTGCAAAGTGATGATAACTTGAATGATGATAACTTTACGTTAGTTCAACGGAGTAAAAATAAAATAAAATCTAGAGCATTACCTTCAGTTAAGATTAAACCAGAAATTCCTTCAGCTGTCCAACGTCAACAACAAATACAACAAACTAAAAAAGTAATTGGCAAAAAAACTAACTGCTCAACAACCTTAAGGTCGATGAAGACTGAACCACGTAAAAAACTAGTCTACGTCGGCAAGTTGGACCAATGCACATCTGAAGATCTCATCAATCATTTGAAAGCAATTGATGTAAAAGCTATATCATGTATTCCTCTTACGAAATCAATTTTTAATAAAAAAAGTTCATCATACAATAATAATAACAATACTAACAACAACTCTTCTCAAACTAATGAAACCAAAACCAGCGCAGCATTCAGAATTGTGTTTCTCGAAACAGATTTGATAAAGTGATGAATGAAGACAACTGGCCTAAAAATGCCTAACTCAAATTCTACTTTCTCGTTTGATCGTGAACTGCATTGAAATAACAATGACATCAGTGATAAAAATATATCTTTAAATTTTATTGATCCGGATTTAAATATCTTTAACAGTATCTTCAACCACTGTCTCCTCCATTTACCAGAAGAAGTTAACCAGTTCATCAACTTTCCTCATTATTTCGCAATGATACATATAAACAGCCGAAGTCTTTACAATAAAATGTCTGAACTTGATGCCCTCCTTCAAGTGTGCAATAATTGCTTTTCTTTAATCTGTGTCTCAGAAACTTGGCTTAGTAACACCAACGATAAATTAATTAATTTACCAGGTTATAACTTTTTATCAAAAAATCGTGTCTCCTCTACTGGTGGCGGTGTTGGTATATTTATATCAAACTTTTTAAAATATGTTGTTCGTGATGACCTTGTCTATTTTTCACGTACTTTTGAATTGTTAATTGTTGAATTGTTAAATATCGAATGTCATAATTACTTAATTTATGTTATTTATCGTCCCCCTAATACTGACCTAAACTTATTTCTAAATGATTTTACATGTTTACTTTTAAAAATTTCTAAATCAAGCAAATATGTCTATATCCTAGGAGACTTCAATATCAATGCAATTAGCAATAATGCCAGTAATGAATTAATTTATCTAATGAACTCCTTTAATTTGTATCCATTAATTAATATTCCTACTCGTGTGACTACCACTACTTCTTCCTTAATTGATTATATTTTTACTAACAATTTATCTCCCCACAAATCTGGTGTAATCTGTTCTTCTTTATCCGATCATTTTCCGATCTTTACTGCATCTAAAATTTCTACCTCTCTAATATCTTCAAATACTTTTATTCCAACCTTTAATTTTTGCTCGAATAATATTTGTAAATTAAATATATACCTTACAAGTTTTGACTGGAATCCGTTATATAATTGTTTTGATACCGATAAAGCATTTTCATTTTTACCAGTGTTTTAAAAAATGCTATTTTGCAATACTGTTACACATCATTACCTTTGAAACAAAAAAGAAAGCAACCTTGGATTACCAATGGTTTAATTACTTCATTAAAGACTAAAAATATTTTATATAAAAACTTTTTAAAATCAAAATCATCTTTTGACCGTTTGAAATATATTAAATATAAGAATTTATTTTCAAAGTTATGTAAGGTTTCGGAACACATGCATTATTATTTTTTGTTTAATAAAGTTAAAAGCAATGATAAAAAAAACTTGGAATTTATTGGAATTTTGTATGGGTGTTAAAAAAATACCGACATTTTTTGCTATTAAATTGAATGATGAATTGATTACTGATGATCTGAGTTTGTGTATTTGTTTTAATGATAAATTTTCTTCGAATGTTTCTTCTACGTGTAATTATAATAATAATATTATTAATAATGATAATAATGGTGATAATAATAATAGTAATAATAATGTTGGTAGTAATGATAATAGTGGTGATAATAATAATCGGGGTAATAATAATGGTAATAATGGTAGTGATAATGATAGTAATAATAGCAGTAATAATGGTGGTATTAATAATGGTAATGGTAATAACAATGACAATAATAATATTAATAATAATAATAATTTAAATTTCAAAAAATATTGTAATGTTAATAAGGTAAACTCATTTGTTTTATTTGATTGTTCTGTACTTGACATTCTTGATACAGTGAATAATTTTAATAATTCTAATTCTTGTGGTGACGATTTGATTTCAAATTTTCTTCTAAAATCTGTTATAACAAATATTCTTTCGCCTTTATGTCACATAATTAATTTATCATTTAATAACGGATATTTTCCTAAGTGTTTAAAAATTTCTAAAGTTATGCCGTTATTTAAATCTGGTGAGCCTAATGATCTTAACAACTATCGGCCTATTTCTACTATCTCTAGTTTATCTAAACTCATTGAAAAAATTGTTTTTAAAAGGTTTACTAATTTTCTTAATTCTAATAACTTGCTTGTTCCTAATTCGTTCTAAATGTTCTACTGAGTTTGCAATAGCTGATGTGGTTAACTTTGTTTCTCATGCCTTGGAGTCTAAAAGGTTCTCTATTGGTGTCTTTCTTGATTTATCTAAAGCCTTTGATTCTATTGATCATAATATCTTATTATTTAAATTATCTAAGTATGGTGTTAGGGGTATTGCTCTTGATTGGTTTGCTCCTTATTTGAATGAAAGGTTTCAATATGTTTCTATTAATAATTCCAGATCTCCTCTTTCTCCTATCTCTTCTGGGATACCTCAAGGCTCTATCCTTGGTCCTTTACTCTTCAATATTTTTATAAATTATTTCGTTAATTGTTCTAGAATTTTAAAATTTATTCTTTTTGCCGATGATTCCACTCTGTTGTTCTCTAATTTTAATGTTAGTCAATTGGTATCAATTTTCAATGAAGAGTTACGTAACGTTTATAACTGGGTTCTGGCTAATAACTTAAGAATAAACATAGCTAAAACTAACTTTATTTTATTTGGACCTAAGATTCGAACAAGTGTTGTTGATATTCAGGTTTCATTAAATAATGTTTGCATTAACGGGGTTGAATCTACAAAGATTTTAGGTATCATTATCTCTAGCAATTTATCCTGGACTAGTCACATTCAATTCATTTCACAAAAGGCTACAAAAAATTTAGGAATACTTTACCGACTGAGATCAAGGTTTCCAAGACATATTTTAATAACACTATATAATTCTATTTTTTTGCCATTTTTCACCTATTGTATTTCTATTTGGGGTTTTACAACAAAATCTAACGTTCGTATGTTGAATCTTTGTCAAAATTATTTTATTCGTATTTTGTTTGGGTTACCAAAATTTGAGTATCAGTCATTTGTTTATATCATCTGGAATTTTAAAAGTTTACCAGTTACACATTCTTTTCACGTTAATGTTTTTTTATAAATTATTTAAACTAAATTTTTGTCCTTCCTTGTGCCACCAATTAAATCATTTAATCAATAATCGATCAATATTTTTAAGACATAATATAGATTTTTATTTTCCTAAACCTCGTACTAACTTTTTTATTAATTCCGTCTTTCATGTCTCTTGTCGACTTTGGGACTTATTACCAATTCACGTAAAAAATTTGAATACTGCTGGTTTATTTATCAATTATTCTTAACGAATCATTTTCCCTCTTTCATTACCGGTTAATTCCCCCTGTAACTATGTTATTGTTTTCATTTGGTTCCTAAGGTTTTTGTCGATTGATTATTACTATTTTGTTTGGTTCTATTTTTTTCTTTCTTGTTATCACTTATTGTTTATCTTTGTTCGAATTTTATTCAAATTTCTGTTTCGGTGGCCCAACAAGTGCAAACTTCGGGTCTCCTAGTATTATGTATTTATTGATACTTTACTGAATAAAAGATTATTTGAATTGAATTGAATTATTATTACTGTTATTATTATTATGGTTGTTGTTATTATTATTATTATTAGTATTAGTATTATCATTGTTATTATTATTAAGATCATCGCCATCCTCATCATCGTCTTAAATTTTTTTTTTTGACAGACTCATCAAGGAAGCATTGAGTAACTCGAAACCCAAGAAATGGCACAACAACAACAACAACAACAACAACAACAACAACGACGACGACGATGACAACGGCAACGATGATGATAATGATAGCCAAGGTGGAAAAGATGATGATGATGATGACGATGATGATGATGATGATGACGCCCATATTCATTAGCGGATTAGAGCACAACAAATCAATAAGCCTGCCTCCTCTGATAGTAAAAAAATCCACACATCATCATCATCATCATCAGCACCGACACCGAGATCATTATCATAATCGCCCTCAACAACAACAACAACTGCAACAACAAAAACAAAAATACAATTTTCATCATCGTCAACAACAACAACAAAGGCATCGTTATCATCAAAAATTGCATCCTAAAATACAACTACTACATCAACAACAACAACAACATAAAAATAAACAGGAAGAGGAAAAACAACGGCTACTATTACTATCACGGAAAGGGTTATTATTGTGGATTTTTTTCATATTTGTTATTATTATTTATATTGTCATTTTTATTGTTGTTAAGTATATATATTCAAATTCAAAATTCAAATAAATTCAAATTTTATTATATATGTATATATATATTTTTTAATATTATATTATTATATTAATATAATATAATTTACG